GTATATGAGAAATTGTGGAATGGTTCTTACTTCAATTATGACAATAGGGAGCCGCTCAAGTTAATCTATTCAAGCCTGATCAATGGCTGGACAATGGTATGTTTGCAACCGATACAACTTTTATTCATTAATATTATTAATATCAAAATACTCGAAAATGACTTTTTTTTTTTTCACTAAAGATGTATGACAGTTTCCTCATAAACTACTGAATACATATGTGGTGTATATTATGTGTCTCTGTGTAGGTATGCCGAGCATGTGGTCTTTCATCGATTGTTGCCGAAGACAAAGCAGGAAAGTGCATTAGAAAGGTTTTTAACTAATGTCTGAAGATATGGATGGAAAGGGGGTGCGGTTAAGGGAGCTACCTGATGGGACAGTTGCATGACACATGCAGTCAAGAGAAATATGGTCCGGCGTCACATATGCGGTTGCTGCAACGATGATCCATGAAGATTGGGCGATGGGATTTCAAACTGCCAGTGGAATCTATGAAGCAACATGGTCTGAAAATGGACTTGGGTAAGATCCCCTTTATCTTATAAAAACATTGTTACCTTTTGAAACTTCAAAGCAGGGTTGATTAAAATTTATGCTTACCTAAGTCTCTGGATGTGCTGTTGAACCATTCAGTAGAGAAATGTTGGAAATGTGGAATAAACTCCCGTAGTGCAATAATCTAATAGAGACCTTTACCCTTACTTTACTTCTGCCTTAGGATATTTTGTGCCGATTCCAATAGGAATTCACAAACTTCTACATAATTTCACTATATTATGTAGCTTTAGTACTATTTATTCTAAAACACTAACAATTGCAATTTTATTGATTAGCTTCTTCCAAACTCCAGAAGCTGGACTACTGATGGTGGATTTAGATCGATAGGTTACATGCGTCCATTGGCCATCTGGCAATGCAATGGGCTCTAACAAAGGCCAAAACCTTTAACAATGAGGAAACCGAAGTAAATGAAGAATCTCTGTACAGATACATGCGGATTTGTAAAGTGTCTGCCTCTAAAGGTACCGGATAGATAAGAAAGGGCGTAACGGTCTTTTACAATCACTATTTGATTACACTTATAAGAGGATTGTTTCATAATCGATTGGTTCTGTAACTTATTATTGTCATCAATTTTCTTGTAACTATTTCTGTTCATCCACCTATTGATACACTTGCAAGAGGTGTTCTATAATCGATTGGTTCTTGTAACTTATATGTCACTCTTTTGTGTTACAGTAAGAAAATTCATCACAGGAAGAAAAGAAAAGAAATATTGGTTCTTGTAACTTATTACTATCATTATTTGTGTATGTGGAACCGTTAATCACTTTATATATGTTAATCATAATAGAACAGTAACAATCTCTTACAGAGTAAATATTATTGGTATTTGTATGACTTTTAAAACCTAAAGTATAGTAATTATACGAAATCATACTTGTTAAAATAAATTAGTATGAGAAGAAGTATGGTTTGAAAATTAAAATGGGAAGACTCCTTTTTAAGATAAAAGGGTTATATTATATTTAGTTAATAAGCTACGACTCTCGTTTTTTTTCAAATTCAAGCCTATATAGGTTAATACAGCATCAGTTGATTAAAATTTGCTGGAAATATGTAATAGAGTAATATTTTATTAATTTTCTACTCAGGGTAGAAGAATAAAACAACAGTTGCTAGTGAGTACATTTAATAACAGAAATCTGTAAAATATAACTGAGAAAAAGGGAATAAAAATCATAGTTTCATATGAAAATAGTTCAAATAAAACAATAATCATAAAAAAATATTTATTAAAATAGAATCATCAATTTTGCCACAGTACCTCAAAATTAAGAACTAAAATATTGGAAAAAATATAAAAAAATGAAAGGTTGGAACCAAAGTCGCGTGAGGACCCCGTGGATAGCATGTGCTCTCCAGCGTTGGCCTTAGCCGACACCTAAAATGGCAAACATTGGCCTAGCTAGTTGCTGGCCTTGTCGATGCATATAGAGAGCCAGAGTTTTTTTAAGTTTTAATTAATTTTTTGCAAACTTTTGAGGTTTTTACAAATTTTTTATCTTAATATTTAAAATTTTAAAATTTGTTATTTTACTTGTAAATTTATTGTTTTGAGTTTTTAATGTTTATTAGAGTTATGCTTAATCAATGGGTACTAAAAAAAAAAAAAAAAAAAAAAAACTAATCAGGTATAATTTTGGAATTTCATTTTTAAAGTTATTTGTCTATATTAACTTAAAAATAAATCAAAATTTATAACATAATTCAAAATAAGGGCATTTAGACATTTCAATTTTTTCCAGTTAAATAACCAATTTTTAAAGTTAAAGTGTTACAAAATGTAGTTTCTAAACTTGCATATTCTAAGTGTTTTTCAGAAAAAATGTGTGTCTGTTCAAGATAATATCCCCGTTTAAATACAAAAACTTGTCACTGCCTATAATAATTAACAAAGGTTTAATTCTCTTGCAAATTTTTTTTTTTTGTGATCGGTCTGACAGTTTATAAATCCCTCAATTAATCTTTGAGATGACTAAATAACCCTACAAATCTAATGGATTAAGTGTACAATCACAAATATATTAGATAACATTTAGTGCGACTTGAAACACAAATCTAAAAAACCTAAGGTCTTGTCATTCGATCGACTTTTGGCTATAGTGTCGATATAGATCAAAGGCCAAGTCAAAGAATTAGTTTTAACTGATTTTTATTTTTAATTTGTAGTTAGAATACTGTGATAAGTTGGCTGTGTGGAGTTAGCTATTGCTTAGTAGTATGTGCAGAAGAATTGGGTGGAATACACATGTTAGCAATGGGGATAAGGGATAAGGTTACAGGCACTTTCTAATTCCAATCAAAATCTGCAAGTGTGCACCTCATTCCTCCACCACAAATTTCTATTGAAAAGATACTCTTAAATCTACCGGCAAATCCAACCTCCATTTCTCTTACTTACATATCTCTACCCACATGCTCTTGCTTCAAAGTCTTTTAACCAAAAAAAATCCCACAAATGGCTGCGTTGCTCTCCAATGGCTAGCCAACTAAGAGTAGCTTCACGTTCTTCAGTCACAAGAGGACTAGTCACACCAAAAGGGTATTTCTGGAGCTCCATTTAGACTGAACCCTCCAGAGAGCCCTGTTTCACTGTGCAAAGCTGTCCAGGTGATAAGGTAACCAACCATTTATGTTTCATTAGATTCAGGAATTTCATTATATTGATACTTGAATTCAGTAGACACTCATTTTGATTTCTCTTTTGGCAGCCGACTTTCCAAGTTGTTCAGCAATTAATGGTGACCTTTCATTGGAAGTCTTGAGACATCCAGTCACATCAAGTCCATGAGTTGCATGGTACCTTTCCAACTCCCAGCTTACCGGACGGCGTCAGGCCCTTCTGAGAGGAATAGAGGTGGGGTTGGCCCAGGGTTCCTTCTTGTAGGCCCATTTGTTAAGCAGGCATTGAGAAACACAGAATATGCAGGAGCAGCAGGACTTTGGCAGCGGTGGACTGTTTGTGATCCTGAGCATTTGCTGACAATGTATGGAATTTCTTTTTTAACGAAGGAGAGCCTCAATTGCCCCAGGTTAACCTTGACGGAAGGAAGAAGGAGCCTGACCAGTTGCAAACTGCTGATGGTTGGTCCAAGTTCACTGGAGGGTCTTTTTTGGTGGAATATCTGGTGTCATTTGGGCATATTTTCTTCTATATGTCCTAACCTTCCTTACTTCGTAAAGTAGAGAAAAGAGATGGCAGTCTTCTGGTTTTTTAAACTATCTTCTGTTATTCATTTACATCTACCAGTTTGGAATGCTTGTTGCTAAATGAAAGTCAATATTTGTCTCTTAATGAACATGCTTGAACTATTGATGTGTTGGAGGTCTTGCTTATGGATGGTTGAATTCTTAGGATAATATTGAAAGAAGGAACCTGAACACTCACAAAATCAGGAATAATCAAACAACTAAATGTAAGTGTCAAGTTGTATATTACATCGTTTTTAGTTATCAAACTGAATTGCCACAAATAATTTCTATATAAGGTCTACACAAACGCCAGTTTTTGTAAAGACTGAAAACTATAAAGCAAGCCTAGAGCTAAATCTTAAACCATTTGCTCTCTTCATAAGCTTTCCATTTTATCTTATTCCGGCCGTGCTCTAGACATGTAAGAACCAATGGTTAAACCTTCCGAAAAACCTGAAAGAGCGATTGTCAATTCTGGTTAAATTGTATGGTACTCAAAAAAGCAAAAGCCATTTGTGTTAGAAGTGGATCCAATCTGCAGATTAATTCTCAAGGAAGTTTTGATGTATGGTCTATGATCAATGATAGAAGAGACGCGGTCTTGATAAGCATCAGCTACTCTTGAGGAGGAGTAAATGGTTAAAGATTAGAATTTTCAACATTTAGGTTACTAATGACTCGGCTTGGTAATGGAATTCCTTTGGTATCCTATATATAATTCTCCTTTGAATCTGTTGTAACCTAGAATTTATAAGAAACTCTTCTGAACCCTTTACCTCAACTAGTACTTTTTGATTCAAATAAACAACTTCAAATTACTGTTTTGTTTGCTTTTATGGCTTTTTATAGTTGTTTGATACCACCAATTTATTTGACTAAAAAAATACTTCTCAAATAAAAAAAAATTCATTACACCTACACCTTACCTAAAGTTCACAAGGCCCTCTGAGGTAATCTTTTTTACATCGATTTTCTAGTTGTTTATAGAGAGGTCTTATACAAAATTTATTCGTCCCCACATTGTCTCTGAGGTAAAGTTCTTCCAAAGTGCCAGTTTTTGTAAAGCTTAAAATATGAGCACCGTAGAGCTAAAGCTGAAGAGACTCCACTGATAAGGAATAAACCACGAAAGCTATCAAGGGTAAGAGGCTTCACAACACTTGAAGGGTCATCGTCCTCAGATGCGAAGGTTGAGTGTCTCTAAACCATTCGTGCTCCAACTCATAAGCTTTCCATTTTTTCTAGTTTGGCAATGCCTTAGACATGTAAGGAACCAACGGAGAACCTTTACGAAAAGCCTGAAAAATCGGTAGTAGTCAAACACACACACACGCACACAAATATATTTGCAATACATAAGAACCTGTGACAAGCTTACCTGAAGATAGACCTCGTCAATAAGTTCACCATAAGACCCAATATTCTCCCCAGTTGCATTCAGAAATGGTATAAACTCATAATCTACTTCAAGCTCAAGCTCAAGCTCTGCCCCTTCAATAGCAGCCTTGAATACATCTATGCAGAATCCTGTTGCTGATGTTACATTAGATTGAAGGTTACGATCTACGTTCACCAATTCAGGGAATCCAACACTTCGTGGAACAGCAATTTTAAGCTTTCTGATGCTCATTTTTGTGATTGAACCTTTTGGAATTGTAGCAGATCCTCCAGGCCATATAATATCTTCAAGTCCACCAGAAGTATTACTCAATGATAATTCTCTTCCATGAATGGATAAATATACTTCTCCAGCAATTTTTCCTTCAGGAGTACAAAACCCAACTCTTCGTTCCCCTTTTCCTATCATATTCACTATCTCAAATGCATTTACGACTAGTTTCCTGTTAATAAATTGAAAATCGCCACTTAAACCTTTGAATTTACTACGCAAAAGTATTTCTGTAAGGAGTATTCCTTTAGTCCTTGTCCTTTCAACTGCTCTTGCCAGACCCCAAGCAACATCATATGCAAATATACAAAATGGGGTTAACTCCATTACTTCTATATCTGTTTCAAGAAGAAATTTTTTTCTCCATCTTGAAGTAAAATTGTGTAGCTCCTTTGAGGGTGGAACATAGGATTTGAGACCGATCATTCCTTGCATTGAGTCCATAACCTCAAACGACCTTGAGGAATGCAAATGATTCATATTCATACTATTGACAGTCAGGATCCAAGCATAACCTTTTTTCATCATTCCTAATTTCTTTGCACTCATGAATAAACGAGATGCGAGAATTGGTGACATATGCACAATAAAAACCGTTGGTCCGAATGCCATGAGTTCCTGCAGCTCTTCATTGATTTGATTATCAGCTGATGAGACGGCAAGCGAGCTTTTGTATGCAATATGGATGTTTTTACCTTCCAAGGACTCAACCAAACGCAGGATAAAAAATCTCCATTCATCATTGTCCTCGTGTATTGTAATGACATTTCTCCATTTGAATGCTTCAACAATGGCAGCGATGGCCGCTACTTGAGAGGTTTCATCTTGTGCGATTTGGACTAAATAAGGGTATGATTTGTTTGAGAAAGGAGAAGTTGAAGGTGCACAAAACGAAATAATGGGGATTTTAGCTTTATCTCCTAGCTCACCCAAAAGTTTCGTTTCCATTGATGACTGTGCTCCTATGAATATGATCGCCCCCAAATTGAAATTTTCCAAAAGATCAAAAGCTGCATGGTGCAAGACCTTTCATCACTTAGGATTCTAAGGTAGAAATTAATTTTAAAATTAAAAAAAAAAACTTATTTTAATTAAATACTTATTTATATAAAATATATTTATGATTTATATTCAATTTAAGGTATTTTACTAATAGATACTTACATAACCAATTTTCAATTTTAAAAACTACGCTTATAAACTCTTGAAAATCCTTTATAAAACAAATTATTTCATCAGCTTTTAAGTTATTAACCACTTTTTAATTGTAGGAAGTTTTTACAATAAACTCCTATATTTTTCCAAAAATTGTAAAGCCCCCCGCTACCATCAGAAATAGGAGGCTAATCCCCGTTCCTTTAGATTTTCCTTTTAAATTTAACTAACATTAAGATATGACTGTAATTTCATCTTTCGAGAAGGGTATTTCAAATTTTTCATCTTTCTCAGAAACTCTAATTTGTTTTTTTTCTTCTTCTTTAATATAAACACGTCTAATATATAAAAGTCTTATGATTAATTATGTGAATAATACTGTACAAACTCTTTCACACTTATCAAATGAATGGATGAATGCTTATAAAAAGTCAATTCTTAAAATGTTCAACAAATTAGATAAATGATGTGCCAATTAAAGGATAATAACACATAATGTTGTATGAAAAAAGTTTGTACAAATAGTATTACTCTAATTATATACCCAAGAGGCCAATAGCGTAATATACACTACCGAAAATGTTACACCAACAACCTCTTCTCACGAATTTTCTCTAACAACTCTAACGTGATAGCTCACAATTGATCAACTCGTAATGGGTCTCATCTGAGCCTCATTTGATAAACTGTGATAGACTAATTGTGAGCTGCTATGTTAGAATTGTGAGAAAAAATTTATAAGAAGAGATTGTGGATGTAACATTACTCCATATACATCAGTTGGCGGTGAAAAATCTCTACAAATCATGACCCAAAAATGAAAAGTATACATCAAATAAACACAGTGAAGCAGGAGTGAATGAAGAAAATGCTTACCGGAAGATAGAGCAAGTAGATGTTGTCCTTTGGAGTCACTTGTGCGAAGAACAATCCTTGTCTTGTAGTAACCATTTACACGGTAAAAATCTGAAATTGCCATGGAAATAGAGCTTTGCATCATCCTCCCCTCCAATGAACCAATATCAAGGATCAATCCAACATCAATCTCCATGTGAGATTTATTGAGTTGAGCAAACAATATTATTGGAGCATTGAAGCTGAAAAAGATGAAAAGGTAGAGCCTGCAGAAGATTCGGGTCTTCTTCTTAATCCCCATGTGCAACCTCTGTTTATAATATTTCTTTGGTTTATATATGTTTATGATGAATTATGACAACTCCAGTATTCCTACCTAATAGTCGTGGTCTCGGGTAGACTTGGAAACACTTTGAAAACTAAACAGAAATTTCTAAGAAGCAAACAAGGAATCTATATAAACTACCACTGATTCAAAACATTTAGAACATCAGATATATTATTGGTTTGTGGTTTAGTTGATGTGATACTTCTATGAAACCGTAGACTCTATCATGAAGGCAAAAACTTTTATGGTAAACTGATGAAAGAATTCATTTTAATTTCTAAAATTTAATAACAAATGTATGATTGTCAATTTCTAGAAGAAAATTAGTTTTGATTGAAAAGTGTGGAGCAAGTTTGGGTCAACACGCTTAAGCAAGTTTATATATTGAATATAAAATTGAGTTTGATTCTTTAGAAAGTTTCCCACGCGGCTAAAGACTTTGGTAAAAACAAATTGATTGTTGATATACAAACAAATATAATAATGTTAATATTTTTTTAAGAATCTTTCAACCTACTGTTATGATTCAACACGCTTAAGCAAGTTTATATATTCAATGACTTTAATATTTTTTTTTAGAATCTTTTAGTTAACCTACTGTTATGATTCAAGCCTATAATCACTCTAGATCAACACTCACAAATCAGCACAATCACAAACACACAATGCAACAAACCACAATAACAAAATCTATCGCGGTTCACCTATCCTTTAAAGAGATAGACTACATCTATGTTAAGCTCCACAATTGAGGGACTCTCTACACTAATTGTTACTTAGTTCAGATTACAATACAACTCTCAAGAATTCTCTACATATTGCACAAACTCTCACTTCTTCTTTGATACACAACCGCACTCCCTATCCTAGAAGACACTCAACCTGGCACTCCTAACCCAAGAGTGAACTAGCCCCCAATGAGTGATAAATAGATCACTCAAGAGATTACATTAATCAACGAAGAAGAAAACCCAAGAACACGAAGAATCCTAACCCTAGAAGAGCAAATCGCAAGAGAGAGAGAGAGAGAGAGAGTCTGTTTTTGTTGCTTGATCCCCACGTCGGTTGGTGTGCTTTTATATCATAGATCAAGTGTCCAATTGACAGCCGTTGGATTTCTTCTTTGAATCAACTGCCACTAAAGGTGCAAGCAAAACGAACACCTATTGACAAAGTAATACGACATTTTTTCTGACTTCACCTTTAATATCTATCATATGTTTTGAGTATTCCTTCAACAACATCATATTTCCTCTTAAAACATCTACATTGAATGTTTTTTATTCCAAATACAACTCCACCACGTTTAATGCCTCCTTTATTATAGAGGAATAGAAAGTAGGAACAAGAACAACGTTTCAAAGTTGTCAAGCAAAAACTCGTTTGTGCAAGAAGAGGATGATGGGAGCCTTGTTCGTATTAGCATACATCCTGTTTTCATTATTATTATTATTATTATTTTAACAAGAATGTAGATGCCAAAAGATTAAAGAAAAGAGAGTTTGAAAATAAAAATAAAAATTAAACTTACCTTTTCATGATTTTTTGGGTTTTTGTTAACTAAGGTTCCAAATTAGTTTAGACGCACTATAACTAATCTTCACCATCAGATAGGTCATGGACAAAAGTACTACATTTATGTACAGTGGAGAATCAAACCAGACACTATGGACATAAGACATGCACAACCCTTTTGATTTGCCCTTACACTGGGCTATGAGTGAGTACCTTTTCATGATTATTGTTTTTCCATTGATTGAGTTGAAACTATCTTCCATCATTTCTGAATATTTTAAATCTAAAAAAAACAAAAAATCCCAAACATGTAAAAGGGTTTAGGGTTTCAACCGCGGTGAAACTAAAAATTTAATTTGGGGAGAGCTGAATTTTTTTGTTTTGTTTTTAGATAAGACTTAATTATATTTAACATTGTTTGCAATTCTAGTTGGTATGAGAAACTTTTATAATATAGTTGAAGAATCATAAACCTAATAATGGATACAAAGGGCCTTACCCTTTGAAATTTATTTTTTTCATCGAAAAAAAATGCTAATTATATGATAATATCAAGAAGAAAAATGTTGCCAATGGTACTAAAGGGGTAGAGACCTATATATTAATTTTTTTTTTTTGATAAGGAATGATAAGATAAGAATTCGTTTTAAATTAGGATTAGGAAATCTTTTTTTAATAAGAAATAATGAGAAAAAAAATTCCTTTCATTAAGATTGATAAAATAAAAGATATAAGTTTTTAATAATGAGGATGGATATACAAACTACAGTAATCTTTAAGGATTATAAATAAGTATTAATGTAAATGTAGACGTAAAAATCTACCTGTACGGAAGAGGGGTCTGATCCTGTAAGGTTGAAGCCACTAGCGATCCGCTACACCTGCACACGTAGAAAAACAAACGCGTGAAGTGAGCGGGAAACACCGGGGTGGTGTTTGTCGTAAGCACTCCGACGCTCAAGTCAGTAAGGCTGAGAGAGGCTAATATAGTGAGGGCTAGGGAGTAGAGGTTACCGGAAGTCTAGTCGGGGACTGTGACTACGGCGGTAATGTGAAGCCTTCAAGTCAGAGCTTTCAGTATGAAGGTGTAATGTAATGTCTCTTGTGAGAGGCCTGACCTCTGCTTATATAGTGACTGTCTAGTCTCACAATCCTGGTAGAAGTAGGAGTCCTAGTGTGACTCTGATACAAACCCTAGAAGAATTAGGGTCGTGGTAAGCTGTCTTACCAGTGTCCGGATAGGAAGGTGATTCTGATTAGGAGAGTAACTCCGAGTAGATCAATCCAACATCAATCTCCATGAGAGATTTATTGAGTTGAGCAAACAAATTATGGAGCATTGAAGCTGAAAAAGATAAAAAGGTAGAGCTTGCAGAAGATTGGGTCGTCTTCTTAATCTCCATGTGTAACCTCTGTTAGTTTATAATATTTCTTTGGTTTATACGCTTAGAATTATGAGAACTCCAGTATTCAACCCAATAGTCTTGGTCTCGAGTAGACTTGGAGACACTTTGAAAACTAAAACAGATTTTTCTAAGAAGCAAGCATGGAATCTATATAAACTACCACTGATTCAAAACATTCAGAACATCAGATATGTACTGATGAAAGAATTCATTTTAATTTCTACCAATTAAGGAATCTATATTATTGGTTTGTGGTGTAGTTGATGTGATACGTCTATGATACCGCAGACTCTATCATGAAAGCAAAAACTTTTATGGTAAACTGATGAAAGAAATCATTTTAATTTCTAAAATTTAATAACAAATGTATGTGTGGAGTGTGTGTGTCTATATATAATATATATTAAAGTTTACGACTTGTTGCAAGAAGATGATTTTTATGATTTTTTTTTTTTAATTTTTATGCTAGTATGATTTATTTTATAAATGTATGAACAACAAATTAAAATTATCAGCGTTAATATTAAAGTTTGAATACATTATGATTAGGAAAAATTTTTAAAGATATTTATATTGTTTAATTTCGTCCCTCTCACTTGAAATCCGGCTTCTTAACAATTAATTTCCGGAAGAAAATTAGTTTTGATTGAAAAGTGTGAAGCAAGTTTGGGTCAACAGCTAAGCAAGTTTATATATGAATAGAAAATGATGGTTTTGAATTGATTCTTAGAAAGTTTCTCACGCGGCTAAAGACTTTGGTAAAAACAATTTGATTGACTTTAATTAATTATAAAGAGTGTGCCATTATTACATTGTTTGCTGATATACAAATATTCAATGACTAGTCCGCAATAATAATTCTCACAACACCATTAGATAACATTAGAGTGGCCACCAATCTTTTTTAACCCCAATATTAATTACAATCATTTTTAAAATACATATATTTCATTCCAAGATTACCTCTCTAATTTTTCTTAATCTTTTAGTTAACCTGAGATTAAATTCCTTCAACAGCATCATATTTCCTCTTAAACATCTACTTGAATATTTTTATTCCAAATACCACTCACCATGTTTAATGCCTCCTTTACTGTAAAGGAACAGAAAGTAGGAACAAGAACAACGTTTCAAAGTGTCAAGCAAAAAATCGTTTGTTGCAAGAAGAGGATCGATGATGGGAGCCTTGCTCGTATTAGCATTCTTCCTGTTTTCATGATTTTTTTTTTTTTTACCAAGAAATGTAGATGCCAAAAGATTAAAGAGAAGGAATTTGAAAATAAAAAAAAAATTAAACTTACTCTTTTCATTTTTTTTTCTTTGTTTTTGTTAAATGAGGTATCCGAATCAACTTACGAGCACCTCGAATAATTTTCACCGCTTGGCCTCCTAAGTAGATCATGGATAAAAATACTACCTTCCATCATATTTTCGAATGGGGAATCAAACCTGACCATATAGGCTGAAGTCATACACAACCCCTTGATTTGTCCAATTGCCATTGGGTTACCCATGGGTGGGTACCTTTTCAAAATATTGTTTTTCCATTGATTGAGTTGAAACTATCTTCCATCATATTCTGAATATTTAAATCTAAAAAAAAGAATCTCAAACATGTTAAAGGGTTTAGGGCTTCAATAGGGGTGAAACCAAAAATTTAATTCGGGTGGTCGGGAGAGCTGAATTTTTTTGTTTTGTTTTGTCTTTAAATTACACTAAATTATATTTATAATTGTTTGCAATTCTAGTTGGTATGAGAAACTTTTTAAATAGATGAAGAATCATAAACCTAACAGTGGATACAAAGAGCCTTACCCTTTGAAATTTATTTTTTTCATTGAAAAGAAATGCTAATTATATGATAATATCAAGAAGGAAAAATGTTGCAAATGAGCGAAAGGGGTAGAGACCTATATTTAATTATTTTTGATAAGGAATGATAAGATA